GGGTGGCCTACGAGCGAGCGTGCTCCTGGCGGTAGCGGAAGCCCGAGCACGCGCTCGCTGCCGCCATGGGCTAGGCGGAGCGGGTGTCATCGCAACCCCCGAGGCTCTCGAAACCATCCCCTAGCCGCGTTTGGCGGCGAAGGAACGCTCAAATTGTTGGAAGAACTCTTAGTTCTCTAGGAGCCGGAATTGGGGTAGAAAGTGAGAGGGACGGGGCGTGGTCTCGGCAGTAGGACGTGGAGAAAAGCTGGCTCAGGCGTGCCGGTGTCTGCATCATCTGGAGAAGACGCTCTTGAAGCTGTGTACTAGACGTTAGCGGGGTCCGAGCTCGCTGTCCTCCACCGGCTTTCTCGTGTATGGGAAATAAGTTACCGCTCACTACAAAGGGCTAAACCGGAAGCCGGGAAGTCAGATCCAATGGAGTGGAAATGCTTAGCATTCAGTGAGCCACGTTACAAGGTTCCAGCTTGGCCATTTTTCCTGGTGTAGTGCATGTTGGCCTCAGAAGGCGAAAAATGTTAAAGCATGTTTTTTTTTGTTTTTGTTTTTTGTTTTTTTGAGAGGTTTTTGCTATAGGCTGCGTGCACTCGCGAGAAAGAGAGACAGGAAGCGAGAAATCACCCCCCAGGGGGATGGCCACGCTGTAATCCCTTCTCCTCCACTCCTCTCGGGATCTTGGGCACGCACACACACGTGCTGGCGTGAGTTTAAGCCACCGGGTCTGGGACTCGAACCGTAATCAGCTACATGGGAGTCTAGCAACGTAGCCATTATGCTAACTGCTGGTCCCAAAAATATTAGAGCATGTTAGCTCTGGTTTTTGTCTCTTTTCAGGGTAAATAGTGTCAAGTTCTTCACAGAAGTTGTATTATTTTGAAAAACTAAGCTTGTCACACTCATGTGAAAGGAGAGGCTACAATATAAACAGTGGACGGTTATAATTTATAAAAATTAAAGGGATGTTATTTAGATCTGTTTGGGGATCTAACTATAGTTTGTCAGATTTATTGTTCTTGATACTTGGATGACAGCTGACTTGTTTGAAAGGTTTTCTTTTTAAATTTTGTCAGATGGCCCGTATACTTGTAGGGGAGAGCAAGAGACAAAAAAGACAAAGCACCTCTCATGGGGAATGGCCATGCCACTATCCTTTCTCCACTTCTGCAATCTCTTTTCCATTTCTCCCTCTTGGGATTTTGGACACTCAGGAACACACTGGGTCTGGGACTCAAACCACATTTGTCAGCCCTGTAGGATCCAGCCACTGTACCACAGGCTGACCATGAAATGTAAAAATATTTGGTCTAAAACCCTAAATGTGGCTCCTCGAGAACACTTTACAGTTTCTTAACTTATAGTTTCACTTAGCATTTTTTTCCCTAGGACACTTGCTGATTTCTTTAATTTCTAAAATGTAGACATTTGTTTTTCAGTGCTTCTAAGTTTGGTCAAAACAAACTTTTTAATATATATAAAAACAGTATTTTTATTTTAAGGTTTATCTTTTCCACTGGAGAGGGAAAAGAAGAGAGACAGTCACCTCCAACATGGTCTTCACACCATGATCTTACCAGTCTCAGTCAACCAGTATAAATGCCCTGTATGTACATGGATACCTGAGAAGTGACTCTGGGACCATCCCATGTGGCTTCAGCATTGCAGAGCTTTGCTTTACTGCTATACCAAGGCTAGCCAAAACCAGTATTTTTCTTTTTTTTTTTTTTGGAGAGGTTTTTGCTATAGGGCACGTGTGCTCGCCAGACAGGCAGAGACAGAGAGACAGAAAGCGAGAAATCCCCCCCCAGGGGGGATGGCCACGCCACAATCCCTTGTCCTCCATTTTCCTCTCGGGATCTTGGGCACGCACACCCACGCACCCAGCGTGAGTGTAAGCTACCGGGTCCGGGACTCGAACCACAGTCGACTCTGGGGGAGTCCAGCGACATAGCCATTACACTCACTGCTGTTCCCCCAGCATATTTTTTTTTTTTTTGAGAGGTGTTTCGCTATAGGACACGCGCGCTCGCCAGAAAGACAGAGACAGAGAGAAGGCGAGAAATCACCCCCTGGGGGGATGACCACACCACAATCCCTTCTCCTCCATTCTCCTCTCGGGATCCTGGGTATGCTCGCACACGCGCCCGGCATGAGTTTAAGCCACCGGGTCCAGGACTTGAACTGCAGTCAACTACATGGGAGTCCAGTGACATAGCCATTACGCTAACTGCTGGTCCCCAAAACCAGTATTTTTAAGTATTCTTCAAGATAGGAATGTGAAATTATTGGTTCAGATATACCTACCATCTTTGGTGTTTTGTTTTTTGTTCGTTTTGTTTGTTTGTTTTTAAGAGTTACTTTACTTTTTAATTTGACAAGAGAGAGAAGAGAGGGAAACTGAGGAAGCAAGCTACTAGGTCTGGGATTTGAACCGTGGTGGGCCGGTGGGAGTCCAGCGCCCTTAACCACCATGCCACCTTCCAGCCCCTTGGGTGAGTTTTTAAAAGTTAGTTTACACGGGTTGGTAGGTAGTGTGGTGGTTAAAGACACTGGACTCCCACGTGGCCGACTGTGGTTTGAGTCCCAGACCTAGTGGCTTGCTTTCTCTCTCTCTCTCTTTCTAGTCTAATTTTTAAAATAATAATAAATAAATATATTTTTTTAAAGTCGGTTTACAGGTCAGCAGATGGAATAGCAGTTAGGTTGTTGGACTCCCATGTGGTCAACTGTGGTTCAAGTCCTGGACCCAGTAGCTTGAAAACCATTTCGGGCACATATGTGTGTGGACCCAAGATCCCAGGAGGAGAATGGAGGTGAAGGAAATGCAGCATGGCCTTCCCCCCCTCCCCTAAAGGGCAATTTCTCACTATTCCTTTCACTGTCTCTGTCTCTGGCAAGTGCATGCACCCTAAAAAAAAATCTTAAAAAAGTCAGTTTATAAGGCCAGCCAGTGGCATGATGGTTAAAGCTGCTGGGTCCCACATAGCCAGCTGCATGGTTCAAGTCCCAGACCCAGCAGCTTGAAAAACACGCTGGGTGCATGTTGCATACATGCCCAAAATCCCAAGGAAAAGCATGGAGGAGAAGACTGTGGTATGGCCATCTCTCTTCAAGGATGATTTCTCACTTTCCCTTGCTCTGAGTCTCTCTGCTGAGCACATGCACAAAACCGAGAAAACAAAAAAGTTGTAGCCTTAGACTAAGGTTTGGGTAGTGTCTCTGTTAAAAATGGCACAGTTGAAAGGAAGAAGTTTAGAGAAGATCCATTTGCTTTTGCACATGGTGGGGGTGAGGCAGTAAAAGGCATTTAAAGGAAGCAATGTCCCATAGACAGTGAAAGAAAAGACAAAGGATCTTGATTATAACATTCATTCAGTAACTGAGGATCTAGTGTTCTAAGTATGCTATGGAGAGAAATAAAGATGAATATAATACCCATCTTGTTTTCAGGGACTCTATTATTTGGTGGAAGAAGCAAAAACAAACCAGATTGAAATAAAAATATTGGGATAAATACAAGTTCAGAGGGTGCAAAGGAAGAAGTGATTTATATGCCAATTGTGGGGCTGGCAGGTGGTGTGGTGGTTTCTGTGCTGGACTCCTACGTGGCTGACTGCAGTTTGAGTCCCAGACCTAGTACTTTCCCTTTCCCTCTCTCTTTCTCGCTAGTCAAATTTTTTTTTAAAATTAATAACAATAAAATTAAATTTTAAAAATCCAATTTTTAAATACAGGAGGCCTCATGGAGTATTCAGCAGTTGAACCAAGAGAGTGAAATACAGGATGACTCATGGAGTATTCAGCAGTTGAACCAAGAGAAGGATTCTGCATACAGCTGAAGAACAGACCCAAAAGTACATTTTGACTTGGGAAAATCAAGTAGCCTAGAGGGGCTCTGTTTATAGGGTTTGTAAAGAGCTGTAAGAGATATTGTGCAGGAAAAATAGGTCGGGCCCCAAAGAAAACAAATCAGTGCCTGATATTAATTATACACTGTGCCAGAAGTTTTCATAGTTAGTATTTTGTCTAATTTACATATAACCATAGAAAGTAGGTGTTTTGGTGGGTGGGAAAACAGTTTCAAAGAGGTTTACTAATTTTCTCAACGTCACAGTCAAAGTAATAATGGAACTAAAATTTGAAACCACATTGTTGTTTAACTATAAAGCTGAGGTTATATTTTAATTTAATAACTATCTCCAAAAAAAGGAAAAAAGCTTACATTTGTAATAGAACTTAAAAAATGTAAAACACTTTTATATGTAATTGGTCTATATGGTTAATCATTAATCCCATTTTATACATGAGAAAATCGAAACTAAATGCCATTATTCAAGGTCACACAGTGAGTAAGTGACACATTGGAAATGCAGTCCAACCATTTTAACTATAAAGTCTCTGGTCTTTCATAACTCCCTTTAAGGAAACTGGAGCTTCTTTTGTGAGTAGAAGAAAGAGCCAGTGAACGTTACTGGGGAGGGGTACAACATAAAATATAATGCTTAAAAAGAATAGTCTGAAATAAGCTGTGGTATGGACTGGAATGGAGAGAGACAAAAACACTAGTTATTAGGCTATTGCAAAAACAA